AAATCAATAAAATTACAAGAATAGCAATATCAGCTTGTGCTGCTCCACCAATCATATTTGGAACAAAACATTTATGACCAGGTGCATCAAGAATAATAAAATGTTTTTTATCAGTTTCAAACCAAGCTCGACCAACTTCAACTGTTTTTCCTCTTTCTCGTTCTTCTTCATTTGTATCTAATGCCCATGATAAATACCAAGATTCACGTGATTTTTCACGTGCTTCAACTTGATATTTTTCTAATGTTCGTTTATCAACTTGTCCTGTTAAAAACCTACAAAAGAAAAATGTTTCAATGAAATATTTTATTTTTAAAACTATACATAAGTTGTCCACCAATTGTTGATTTTCCAGCATCAACATGTCCACAAAAGACAATATTTATAGGTTCCTTTTTTCGTACAATATCCCGTTTAACAAGAGCATTTTTCTTTTCTTTCGGAACTGCTGATGCACTAACTGTACTAGTTTTATTTGTTGTTGTTGTCGTAGTTGTTGCTTCATCGAATAATTCTATATATATAACAAGATAAACACATGTATAGATATGTATGTAAGAGAAATCAAAATCATCTAACTTTCAGTATCGTCATCAGGAAAATCATCATATTTCACTGTTTCTGTAGTGATAAGTGGTTCTTTTACTTCTTGCTGTTGAACATTTGATTTATTTGTTTCAATAACTGCTTCTGTTTGTTTCTTATCATCGTCGGTAGTAGTTCGAGTATCAACAGGTGTTGAAGTTGGAGCTTTAACAACTGTTGGTTGAGAAACAGTTGAAGCTTGTGGAGCAGATGAAACTCGAGGTCCAAAACAAGGTACAAATTCCATAGCATTGACATTTAATGCACTAAGTTTGTTAGTAGCTGATGATAATGAAGAATTTTCTTCTTCGACTTGGTCCCAACTAGCTGGTGGTTCGGACATTTTTGAATTTTAGAGTTCAATTTTTTTTAGCTGTACTTTTATAATGGTATAAATTTCGAAAGACAAGCAATATTTACTTGCGAAAGAAGCAAACTAATGACTCATTCAAAATTGCTTGTTGGATTATAGAAAACAGTCAATCGTTTTTGTTGTTTAGTATGCCTTCTTTTATTATTATTTATTCAATAGAGGGCGCAATTCAATTTCATTTATTCATTGTTATATTTTATATTTATTCTTTAAAAATACACCAATGAACGTTACTATTAATTATTTCAAATTAAAGTCTTCCATTATTTTTCGAATACTTGTTAATGGAAACATCATAGAGACTTGCAGTATTCGTCGTAGGACAATACATTGCACGGCATGTTGATTGCAAAGTTTTCCTAAGAAGCATCGAAAGTTAGATTTGGGTACACGAAAGATTCTCATGGATATGATGTTTTGATTGATAAATCAAAAAAAAGGAGAAAAATAAAAAGTATCTATCTTATGACGAATTTATTGTAAAAAATTTTCAGTTTAACATAATAATTTTTTTTTGTTCGTTTATATTTATTAATTAAAAATAAAAGAAAATTCATGAAAATATGTTTTTAGTGTAAAAAAAAATATATTCTTGTTTACAAAAAACATGATATTTATCAAAGTCGATGTTTTTTTTTGAGAATAAGTTCTATTTCATTTTGTTGTTTTGATAAATGTCAGCAATGTCACTTGTTAATGTTTTTACTATATAATACATGGTAATATCATTAGTTGACATCAGTCAACGCTATGATAATGGAACGATTATGTAGAAAAGAAGAAATTAGACATATATATAATTAGCTTTTTTCAGTTTTTAAAACGAAGAACTCTGCTTTTTCTGTATTAAATCTATGAAATAAAACTTGAGATTATGATTGACACGATAAATATCGTCACACGAGAGTTTTCATTTTCGCTCTTATGTTATTGTAGTTTGAAAGGAAATTTTATCAATTTATTATGATCAACTATCACCATCAGAAAATTTCTGGTTCTCATGAAAATACGTCACGCGAGAATGTAACATGCATCATACTTTACAAGTATATCATGCCATGCAAACAAAGTTCTATATAACATCGGCTGTACTAATGCTGGTAGTCAGGGAAATTTACTCATTTTCTGGATTTATATAGTACAGTAAAACGCACTACTATTATCATTATTCAAATCGACAATCTTCTTGTTGCTGATTGTTTTTCTCAATAATATTGCAATTAACTCATATTTACATGAAATCATTATATGAAAAACAATAGTTGTTTCTCCATCATTAGCCTACGAATATAAAATACAAATTTGAAAATTTTACTATAATTCTGAAAATATCGACCGAATATCAATTAACTCTAATGTGCCGCTTTAGATGCGATTGCAACAAGTTGTACCCGTGCAAAATACTACTACGAAACCGTTGTGGATTTGGTATGAAAATAATAAAACAAAAAAAAAAGTTTCGAGTTTGTATCTGTCGTTTTAGGTTTCATAACTGAATTATTTTTTTTTATTATTACAAACGCCGTTTTATTTATTTATTTTTATACAACGATAGAATATGAATGATGTCTTACAAATTTTTGTTTAGACACGTCAATTCTATACTGAAAACTAAATTCAATTTTGTTAGATCAACAAATAAATATTAAATAATAATATTCATTTCAAACCATAATCATAATATTATAACTTGAGGGATAATTCATCATGAATTGAAAATAATAAATATGAAATAAATAATTAACTTATTTTGTTCTATTTAACTTGACATAAAAGAAAAGAAAAAAAGATTCAAAGAATAACTATCGAAGATTGATCAATAGTACTAGAAATTGATACAGTTGTTGTTGATTGTGATCGAATTCTATTAAAATAATTTTGTTGAATTAATCGTTTTAATCTATCTCGTTCAATTGTTGATTGTTGACCATATTTATATGCTAAATGAGGTTTTTGTTTTAATTCTTGTTGATTTTCTCGAAGAAAAATTCTATTTAATAAATTAAAATCTTCTGTTGTAGAATCTGAACATGGATTTATTGATGATTGTTGAAAATATTTTGCTCGTTGTCGATATTGTCTTGATTTTACTAAATGTTCTTTTCGTTGTTGTCTTGTCCAATATCGACCTTGTTTTAATTCACTCATAGGTTCATCATCTGTTGTTTGATATTGTTCTTTTAAATATTGTTCACGATAACGACGTCGAGAATATTTTAATGTTGATTGATGTTGATTATGTCGAGAACGATGAGAATCATTTGATCGAGATCGACCACATACTAAACCACTATCACTATCATCTCGATTTTCTTTTAAAAACAGACATATATATAAAATAATAGGAAAAATAGAATTCGTTTTTTTCTGTTTACCGATTAAAGTTTGTTGTTGATGATGAAATGGAAGTGGTTTAACAATTACTTGTTCATTATCTGTTGTCATTCCAAAAAGACTTTGAGAACGAATTAAATGTTTCGTATGATCAATACTTTGTGTAAGAAATGAACATGGCCTTCTAAGATCATTTAATGATAAACAACGACGATATTGAAATTGACGAGAATAAAATTGATTACGACGACAATTAGAACAATAATTTAATGCAGATGAAGATAAACTAACACAACTTTTTATTAGATTATTACATTCATTTGAAGATTTCTGAATCAAAAAAAAAAATTTGTTTTTTCGAAGTTAAGTTTTAGAGACAAAAAAAAGAAAATTCTTACTTGATATATCCAATCATTTGTTGTTTCAAAATCAGTATTACAAGCAAGAGTAACACCACTATCATCTTCAGTTAATGGTGTTGATTGAATTGTTGGAAAATTTTCGTTTGGAAACTATTTGAAAAAAAAAGAAAATTATTTTAATTAATATCTATATATACATATGTATAAATAAATCATTCACTTCAAATCGAACTATTTGTAAATGTATACGACAAGCACCATTGACAAGATTAATTGCTTCGTCTCGACTTGTAACACGATGATTGTTTATTTTTATAATTTGATCACCGCTATGAAGTTCACCTTGATGACCGGCGATACTCTCTTTATCAACCTATTGATGACATATTCATAAATAAATAAAAAAAAAAGAAAAAAACAGACACATGAAAAATGATCTTTACTTGTTGAATATAAATATTAGTTGTTGATTTAGATGTTATACCATAACAAAGAGTTATACCTAATCTTTCATTTGGATGATTTCGACGAAGAATTATATTCTTAAATATAAATCAAGTTATGTGTATTTGACATTTACATAAATATAAGAACGATTAGTTTATTAGTTTATTATTAACAAGACAATCGTTTTCCGTATCTCAAGAGCTAATACAAGGTCATCAAATACAATGAATAAGTTATTCAATGATTGAAAATAATGAAGCTCAGCAGGTGATCTTTTTCTCATCAAATCATATAAGATTGATTATGTATTGAAATATGTCTCGAATTTTTTCTATTGTTATTTAATCAATAAATAATAAAACAAAAAAAATTAATGACTTACTTTTATTATAATACCATTACTTAATATAGAAGAAGATCGTTTCCAAAAATGATTATCAATAAATGAATTTAATGAAGATTCATATGAATAATTATTTATTCGTTTTAAATTATTATTTTCACATTCAAAAGATTTTATTGTACTAAAAATAAAAAAAGTGATTTATGATAAATTCTTTATCTCATATAAAACAAAAGGTGAAATATAGTTTTGAGAAAGATATCTTTTGTGGTGATAAATATTGACGATGTAATCATTGATATTCATCATAGAAAATATCAAATCTCTGTAGGGATCAAGAGAATGTCACGATTCAATTTAATAAAGGATAACAAGCAGATGTAAAAGCAAAAAAACACAGGATTATTATTATATAGGACAATTTCTATTGTATTTGATTAGTAATAAAGATTGACTTTTTATTTAAAAGTACGAATCACATCAACTAAACAATATTAATTTTTTTTTTTTTCATTAGCATCGTTTGTTTATTCTTGACGCAAAAGTCAATAAAAAAAAAATGAAATATACGACTTCATAGATCTATATCAGTGTAATAAAGAAGAAAAAAAACGAAAGCTCACATTTATCAAAGTCATTTTCAAGTAAAAAGCGAACTTGCATTTTCTTTCTTTCTTACATTTGTCAAGGCTACTCATCCCATTGAACAGATGCTCTGTATGACCTCTTATCTTTTTTTTGCAAAGCCATCGGTACACATTTACCTGTTCTGTTGTTGGATGGTGTGATGTAGAGACGTGACATTGACATAGTGTTGGTGATAGGGACTGATCGGAGTCGGTTCAGTTCGATTAATGACTTTGTTATTTGAACTAGTATTGTTCACAATACCTTGTTGCTAAACAATAACCAAATAGTAAAATATAATAAGAAATTTTCACAACTAACTGTTAGAGGAAAAAAAGAATCGGTGTCGTAATAGACAAAAAAAAAAGAAGATAATGCAATCTTACGATAGGAATCATATGTAGACATCATATGTATGGAATCGTTTTTTCTTCGCCTGATAACAGTACAAGTCGATGATAGATCGAATAATTGCAGTTTCTATTAATGGTTAGTCAGAGAACTTAATTTATTGGATTATCTCAAAGGATATATGAGAATTAGTGTCAAACGATTCTTTTCTTTTTTTTTTTTTTTGTCTCTCATTCTTGTTACATTTTCCTGTCATTTTGGATTGTCATCGAAATATAAAAAGATGGAACTAATATGATTAACATAACGGATGTTGATGAAAATTTAGTTTAGAATAATGACAAGTTTTGCATTAGATTGATCATCAAATTGATCTTAAGAATAAAAAGAAAAAGAAACTAGTGAAGCGTACAACATACATGGCCGATTAGCTGCATTCCGCCTTGCGTCTGAGAACATGACATAATTATTATTCTTTCTCTCGCACGTTCACACATAAGGCACTTAATGGCATCCTACCATCACCATATCATGTCCTCAGGCAAAAGACGGACGTGTGTGTGTGTGGAGATGTTTACATGAGCTTACCAAGTCATTGTTCATATTCTCTTCTTTTATGTAAGCTCAATTAACTAGCTTGAAGCTATTTCATTTCGACGCCATAATCAAACATTCTTTTATAATAGAATTTTGTTTTTACTTTTAAATAGGTCTCTCATAATACGTGATGAATGAATCTATTGGGGAAAAAAGAAAAATTCTCAATCAATATCTGTCTATCATCGAGTAACTGTCTTTTCTTATTTTTTTTCTCTATTCAACGTTTCATGTTACAAAACAGATCATCAATCGTCTCATGTGATTTAATCATGATCAGTAATTATGGCTTTTGTTTTGTGCCTATGTGGAAATTTCCCTTGAGAGAGATTCAATGAAACTTACTTGTGACTTGAACTTTCTCTTTTTCTTGTCCAATGAAGATTTATTTGAACCACAAACAAAAGAATTTAGTTTTAAACAGCAATTACCAATAAAAAAACTCATTTTGTCTTTGTCTCCTTGAAGATTGCAATTAATATGGATTTAATACAAAAGACGTTGGTGCTTGTGAAACGACTCGATATTATATTTGTGTGTGTTGGCCAAGAACGCCAACGATTATATGCACAGAGACCGAACGAGAAGAGAAAGAGAAATAGCTCCTTTTTTTTCTTCTCTCGTCTTCTCCTATCGTAGACTGAATATTGAGAAGGAAGAAAGAAGAAGGATCTATATATTTCGATAGAGAATAGACTAAATATTTGTTTGTATATTGATAGTGTTATATCTTATGTCTTTTTTTTTTTTTTCTTTTTCTCGTCTTCGATCAATGTTGAGTCAAAGAATGCAATGATCTTCATTGCCATATTATACCTGTTCTGTCTATATAATCATAGTTACTACAAGGATCAACCAAAAAAGATGACACAGCGTATGCCGTCTTTTACAGATGACATGATAACAGCTCTAAATGTTAGGTACGTCAACAATATCATATATGATCCTCAAGTAATAACCTTCATCAATGATGAGTTACACACACTTGGTTTAAATCTTTTTCACATATACAATCAAAGATTATTTCCTTCAAGATATTATACTTTAGGAATAGATTAACAACATGTTGTTTTTTCTTTTGTCAATTCTTATTAAAACAAGTTATATTGACTGATTTCTTATTGTTACATTGTTTTTTCATAGTTTATAATAGACTCGTTGTTATTTATATAAAATAGTTTACGATAAATCGAACTGATTGTTTAATATAAACTATTAATATGATATTTATTCTAGTGGAAGATTTAATCAATCGATACTAAGTAAGAATTGAATAATTGTATCAAAATCATATGTCAAAATGTCATTGATTAGATTTATATTGTATATATATTATAAAATTGTTAAAGAAAACTAAATTAATATGATATAAATCAACTAATTTTATCTAACTAGAACTTGTAAAATCTGAGTAACATTTTTTTCGTTGATTACGTAGATCAATAGAATTTATTCATCAATATAAATTGATAAGAGAAAAGTCAGCTGGTAAACACATGTCAGTATTATTTACTTGTAATGATTCCTACTAAACATTTGTTAATCCAAATGAATAAAGATTGCACTGATGTTATTACTAACAAGTTATTTATAATTAATAACAATTCGATTAAAATCAAGTTTATTGAATGAGAAAGCAAGAAAATGAGAAACTTTTTTCTTTTTTTTTTGACATAGATTAATTATCCTGTATATCGTGTTTGATGATTATAATGATGGTGATCAATCTGACTATTGTCTATCTAATAGTTTGATCGTGATATAGAAATTGATATGAAGGTTATCACGTCGTCAATAGTTCTATAACCTGACATGATTATATCCAATAGTATTCATTAATCAATATACTTTTTTTTTTTTGATTCTCATGAGTGATTTCTTTGTTAAGATATAAATCTGATATTTTTTATTATTCGGAATAAATTCAATCGTATAATAAGTATTCTTATCATGTCTATGTTCAGTTGACACCTACTGTGCTTATCTATATTCATCGTTAATTCTATGCCTTGACATTTTATCTATATCGACTATTGGGATATTCGATTAGTGATTCTTTATTTCTTATCTAAAGTTCATCGAATGCTTAAAAATCAAAATCATATATTAATTATCTTCAGTAACTTTATTCTTCATCAAGATTTTAATCAACTTAAGCTTAGAAAGCAAGAATGACATCATTGACCAGACATTGCGATTGCCTAAATCAATAATTAAATCATATCTACATTTGTGGATAACCAAACCAATCAGATCTATTTTGATGATCAAAATAGAACTTTCGATCTAGAGTTTTTTTCTATTTTAATATATACTATAGGATATATATGTTTAATTCAATCATCAAACATTTTTAAAGTATACGATTAGTTCAAGTCGAGAAATGACAAATTAATTTCACAATATGAATCTTCTTCACATTGATCTGATCATCAGATTTAAAACTGTAAGTTAGAGAACATGAAATTTTCGTTCAACTGTGCAATTTCCTTGTGTACTTTTTTTTATTTGAATTGTAGGAGTAATAATCAGGTTATCTAAACCATTCGTGAGAACATGCAAATAGAAAAAAACAATCAGCACAAATAAATTATTGCTCATAACCAGATTAAAGTCACAAGAGAATATCTGGTTAACATGAGCTCTATATCTAGAGAATAGAATGATTTTTCAATATTTGTTCCATTAATCTTATCGTTTTTATATCAGATAATTTCGAGCACATGTCTTTATATTTAAAATAGTATTTTGAATCATTCTAGCAAATGTTTATTAACTAAAAGAAACAGAAAATTATATATTACGAATTCCTAATTAAAAGTTATTAGCAGTACGTCGTCACAGCAATTGTCGAGCAGACTATTTTGTTTCTATCTCTATCCTACGCTTTCCTGTAATTTTATGCTACAGCTTTTGGACAAAAAAAAAAAAAAAAACTCCAATCTGAAACGATATCAGATGATAGAGATAATGATAAAAATAGGAAGAGAATCATTTATTCTATCACATCCATTAATTGTTTAGTGATATACTTAAAAAATCTCCAATAAATATAAATTGGAAAGATTTTTACCATTTGATATAGTGTCATAGAAGAATTATGTTGACATTGAATGATGATATGTATCATCTATCTCATATTATAATAATCCTCAAACTAATATTTTTTCTTGATTACCAGAATTGACCTTAGTTATTTGATTATCCACAAATGTAGATATAATTTAGACATTGATTCAAGGAAATACAATCTCTGTTAAATAATAGCTTGATAGAATTTCATTCTTATCATAAAAGAAAAATGCTTATATATTTTTTGTTTTTAAAAATATTAACACAAAAAAAAAACCTGATTTCCTATATTTGTTTGTTTTTTTTTATTATTGATCTGAATGAATTTCTTGAAGATGATCAGCAAATATTGTAAATGTATTAATAAAATGTATTTTAAAAATTTTTTGTTTATTTTGATCTTGACAATAATATTCATTAATTTTAATCAATTCCATATCAAGTAATTTAATTAATATATTTAATTTTTCTTGTGAAATTTTTTGTTTTAATAAATATGTTTCAATATAATAAACAAATAACCATAGAGAAAGTATTGCTCGTATATTAATATATTGAATAAAATAATAATCAGATATAAGATTATTTTTATAAGAATCAAAAATAAGAATAAAAATTCGATGTACAATATCAGATGGATTTATATTCTAAAATATAATAAATAAATAATTTGTTTTTTAATTTCATAAAAAAAATATATTACATGAATTTGTAATGTTTGTTCATAAAAAAGTTGAAATAGAATTTGTGTAAAATGATCTATTTGTTGTTTAGTTTCAAATGAATTTAATAATGATATTTGATATATTGAATGAATATTTTGAAAAATTTTTATTAATTCATTTGATATATCTGTTAATTGTTCAATAAAATAATCTTGATGATAATATGAATGAATTTGTTGTTTAGATGGTTTTCCATAAATAACATTATTTCGATCCATTCCAAGACGTTTACATTTATCAAAACGACAACTAGGACAATTATTACGATTTTTTGTATTTATTTCACATCGTATTGGTGAACATGGTTGTGGAATTGTATATGATAAAAGACTAGTACGACGAAAAAATGCTTTACATGCTTCACATGTTGATACACCAAAATGTATTCCAGATGCACGATCATTACATACAAGACAATGATCACTACGAGAATTTAATAATGATAATGAACTATTATTATTATTATTATTACATCGATCAATCGATATATCAATATCTAAAATAATATGAAAACAAATGAAATCAATTTTATTTTATTAAACAATAGAAACTATTAACAAAAAAACATACTCGAAATGTTTGATTGATTAATAGGAGAATGAGGAGACCTCGAATTTGTATAGACATTTGATGGATATGTTGATATATTGTCAGGATAATATGATGAATAATCATTAGTTGTAATATTATTATTAGATTGAAATGATATCGAATTGAATGATGAAATTTCCGATGGAACAGATAATGGATATGAATAGATTGGAATATATGACGAACGATTGAACATTTCAAATGATGGATCCATTGATCTAAAAATTTTTCTATTAGAATTCATATAAAATGAACAGATGTTCATCAATCCAATTGATCTTTATGGATCATAATATCAATTGTTTATTTATGCTTGCTTTTTTTCACAAGCATTATTATCTGATTAAAAGAAATATATAGATACCATCACATTAAATTGAATTATTTAATCTTCTTTTTCTGTCATAAAGAGTTAAGATAGAAAAGTTTCATGTCATTTTTTTTTTAATCTTAAATTAACATCAATCATCTCTTTTCATCTTATTGATGATCATTATTTATTTAAAAGCTCATTGTCATATAATACTTTTTTTTGTTATCTATAATCGTTAGTTATTGATAATGATATAAATAAATGAAAATAATCTACTGTAACTGAAGGGTATGTGTAATCGAAATAATTTACTAACATAAAGATTGACTCTTTTCATTGTTCAATGGGAGAGAAGAAAAAAAAGAGAGTTCAATTTATGACGTCTAGCAATAAACAATGATTTTTATATGCTATTTTCACTTTCACATTATAATACTGACCTCATATATTAACCATTTACTATTTTCAATCGTATTAAACTTCGAATAAAAATAAGAAAAAACAAAAAAAAGCTTCTTTCTCTTTATTTAATTGCTTTTTCAGGTGACTAATGATATAAAATTTTCTTTTGTAGAAATGTTGAATCACCTGCTCAATGACCGAGTATATTTATCGAGGTATCTTATATGTTTCTTTTATTTAAAAGAAAGTTATTTAGCAAATATTCTCGATTAAACATAGACGATGTCTTTTTTTTCATAACAAAAAAAATTTTTTTTTTTCGATTGTCCGTTTTTAACATTTGATTTATTTGACATTCATACACAATAACAATTTTCTTCTCGTTTAACTTATTTTTAAATAAAAAGCATTGATACATAGGTGTATCGAATATTTGATCTTTTTTTTTTTTTATTTTACTAAAACAATAATCAATACCTACGTATTTGTTTTGTTATTTATTGAAGACAAATGTTCAACTATGCCCGTTTTAGGATATGTCGTTTTCACTGGTCATTCGGTCAAATAGATATCAATCAATGTATATTTTTCTTCGAATCCAATAAAAGGAAGAGCAATAAGAAAAAGAATCTCTCTCTCTTTTTCTCCCGCTATTTTTTATTGTCTTTATGATTTATGATCCTTTTCCAAATGACCGATAAGATCATTTTTTTTTTCTCGACTTGTCGTTATATATTGAAGAGAGACTCTTCAATCGATGACAAATATTTTAGCTGAAAAAAAGAGAAACAACAACTCTATTTGCTTATGTCAATTGAACACGACATTAAGAGAAAAACATTTCAAATGATTGATCTTATCATAATAACAGATCACATCATCAATCTATAGGATTAAATAAAAGTTTCACTCTCTTTTTTTTTTATTCATTATATGAAACATCTGAATGTAAGAGAGAATTTGTCAGTTAATAAACAGTTATTACACATCTATGATTGAGATACTTTCGAAACATTTATAAAAGTTGTAATATCTCTGATCAACTATTCATATTATCTAAAAGATATAAAACAGAGCTCTCAACAGGTCAGTCTATGACTGGTTGTCAATTTCATTCGTCTTGTCATCTGTTTTGCATATCATAGTTTGTATATTTTTTATACTAAAATGACATAACTATGCGAAACATTTATTGTCTTTTACCACAGTATGTATATGCTGAAAATGAAACAAGAAAAAGAAAACATACTATGTTATGCATAAGAGTATTTTCAATGATTTTGATCAATTAATCAAAAAGAACAGATCGAGTTTTGTTATATATATTATGAAAATATAAATATTCAATAGAAAATCATAAGAATCGATTAAAAAATATAAACAGTAACCTAACAAGATATATAAAAGATGAAAAATTTAGTCGAAATTTATAATTAGTCTTGTCAAAATAATGACAAAAAATATTTCTCATATTCTATTGAAAAGTTTATTATGCTTATTTTTCCTCCTAAAAAAAACAAAAAAACTATCATATGCAGACTAGATGGCCTATTGGAATCATCAAAAACCATAATTTGTCCTTGTAGGTCATCAGAAACCTAATTCTTTCCGTGATCTACAATATGGACGGATTAAAAAAATTATCTTTCATGGAAAAACTTTTTTTTTCCATCAATTGACGTCAGAAATCCCAGCTGTTGATATTCGAAACCAGCGTCGTCAATTATACACAACTTACTAGATTTGGTGAAAAGAAAAAGCGATTAGATAATGAGGAATTTCCCTTGTGAGTTATTGTGATTACTCGTCCTTCCTTCCTTTTTTTTTGTGGATTTTTTTGCATAAAAGAATCAAGAAAATACAAAATAATATATCAGTCTATCATCTTCGAATTCATAATTTGTTTCTTACTGCTAAAAAAAGAATCTAAATTACTAGTAGACAAAATTAAATTACAGTAAATCTCTTTCTCAATATTAGATTCTAATTGCATAATAAAAGAAAAATCGATAAATATAAGCACAATTAATAAAATATGTATTTCATAAGATTTTTTTTTTTTAAACTTAATTCCTATCAGAGATCGACAAAATCGCACCGCGCCTCCCCGCGCCGTTGCTCACGCCTACGCTACACTAGTCTGAGCTTCGATGAGCGCATGCTTAGAGCATCCCGGTACTCGCTGAAGTTTAAGAAACTGATTGGTAGAGCAAAGAGAAAGAGAGATGTGCGTAGCGCCTAGGCGCGGTGCGATTTTGTCCATCTCTGATTCCTATTTCTTTTTGTGTTTATAATAAATAAAATGATGCATATCATCATATTAATTGTATGAAATCATTTAATCTTTGTTTAACAATTGTATTTCACTCTCATAATAAATCCATGAATAAAGAAATTTTTTATAGACAAAAAAAAAAAAAATGTGTTGCTATTAAGTATAATTAAGAAATGCAGAAGACAAAGCCGGAGCAAAGCGAGAGACCAAGCACCTTGAGAGGAAAAAATGAACTATTAGAAAAATATTATTTACACAGAAAAGAAAAAAAATGGAATGACAATAGATTGAGTTCAGCACCAACATATTCACCATTCATTAATATAATCAAATCCCGAAAAATGTTCTTGATCATCATCACGAATTGGACGAGGATCTTTAGCTGGTGTTAATATCGGTTCTTCTGATGTAAATTCTGTATCAAAATTTGAAACATCATCAGCACTTCGCTAGAAACAAAAAATAAAAATAAATTTGATTTATAAAGTGATAAATGAATACAAACCACAATAGGAACAAATGGTGGTTTTATTTTTTTCGAAAGTAAATCTTCCCAAGTAATATTCTACGGAAAAAGGAAATATATTATTTATATGGAATAATTATTATTGAAAAACAAAAAGAAATGAATAAACCTTAAAAAATGATTGTCGTTTAACATCAGCAGCATCATGTTCACCAGCACCTAATCGATGTGAAACATTTTTTCGAAGAAGCTTCAAAATATCAAATTAGAATTTTACAAAAGAAAATAAAAATCATACTCGTTTCATAATAGTAATTGATTCAACTGATAAAAATTTCGGATATTTTACTTCATCATTTACAATTGAATCAAATACTTCTTCTTCATCATCACCTGGAAACGGAGATTCTCCAACTAACATTTCATATATTAAAACACCTTTTAAATAAAAATAAAAACACTTAGGAATAGAATTAAATTATTTTTTAAAATTACCTAAACCCCACCAATCGACAGCACGTGTATACGATGATTCAGTAAGAACTTCAGGTGCCAAAAACTAAATCAATCATTTAAAAAAGTTTAACGATTCTAACATCGTGCTGTATTTTAATTAGAGTTGTGCTAAACAAACTTTCTTCGAACCCAAAATTTTCCGTTTTATTTTCAAAATGTCACATGAAATCGGATAAAGAGACTTTCGAGAATATACTACTATGTTCAAGGACTTGAGATGTGCGAAACCGAAACCAGAATCAGAAAAAATTTTTGGTTCTACACATATCTGTTGTTGACGAAAATAGATTCTACAACAGTTTCTCTAAATTCGCACAAAAACTAAAGTAACTGATATTAGGTTCAGAGTAAAAAAAAACTTTACCGGGACTAAAAAAGTTGGTCGCGCACATCTCTATCTAGGACTCTAGTTTTACTGATATGTTTTTCTGATATTTTATTTTTTCTTTCTGAAAAAAAAATAGTTCATTTTTGTATGTAAATAATACTTCAAGACATGTTTCAAACGAATAGTCGAAGATAATTAATTTTCTAAAAATATTTTTTTTGTTCTATTTAACAATGAATATTTCTTATTGATGATAGAGAAATAATTGTGAAAATTTCTTTTTTTCATATTTTAATGTTATTAGACGAATATTCTAAAATGATCGACTGTAATTTAATATCCTTTAATTGACATTGACCTCAGTTATCAAATTCGATATTTCAAAAAAAAAAAGAACAATGTGTAACCTCATATCGATCAATTAATACAATAACAATGTCAGAACAATTGTTTCTTTATCATCAATAAGAAATATAAACTAACAGATTTAAATTTTGAATTATTTCATTTTCTTTTTTCTACCATATGGACCAGAGATCGACAAAATCGCACCGCGCCTCCCCGCGCCTACGCTACACTAGTCTGAGCTTCGATGAGCGCATGCTTAGAGCATCCCGATACTCGCTGAAGTTTGAGAAACTGATTGGTAGAGCAAAGAGAAAGAGAGATGTGCGTAGCGCGGGGAGGCGCGGTGCGATTTTGTCCATCTCTGATATGGACAAAAAAAAAATACCTTAACATTAAAAAGATACTTTAATTATGGAACTGAAACAACAACAACAACAATAATTTACCTCAGGTGTTCCACAAAAAGTACTTGTTGTTCCACCATAACCAATACCTTCTTTACAAAGACCAAAACTAAAATAATAAAATAAATAAATAAATAAAATAAAATAAAACTTACTCAGCTATTTTAAGATAACCTTCACGATCTAATAATAAATTATCAAGTTTAAGATCTCTATAAACAATTTTATATGAATGTAAAAATTCAAGACCAAGTACAACACAAGCAGCATAAAAACATGCACGTTGTTCATCAAATACATCTTGATGTATATGCATCATAAGATCACCACCAAATGCATATTCCATAACAAATATAACATGATCACGTGTTTGAAAACATGAATAAAGATTAATTAAAAATGGATGTTGACTACGATTAATTACTTCAAATATTCGTTTTTCTGACATTAATGATTCAACTTCATCACGTGCTAATATATCGCCTTTTTTTAATACTTTTAAAGCATAATAATCACCACGACGTGGAAGATATTCAGATAATATTACCTTGAAATTTTTGAAAGAAAATTTCTTTTAGAATTTAAATAAATAATAACAATAATTACTTTGCCAAAATGACCACGACCTAAAACACTAACAAGACGAAATGCTTCAATATGAACACCTTTTGGAAATCTAAATAATTATAGATAAAGAAGAAAATTTATTTGAAAAACTAAAAAAAAATCAAAATAAACCTTGAATCAGGAATACTAAGTGATTTATTTCTTATTGGAAGAATTTCTTGTTGTGATTGTTGATTAATATTAGTTGGCATTTGATTCATTGATGATGATCGATTAAATTTTTGTGATGGTTGTCGTTCAGTAACATTTATATTTGAACGTGATAGATTATTTATTGTTTTATTTTCATCAGGTAATTGAGAATATGATGGAAATGTAGTTTTTGATGGAATTACAGTTGTTGCTGTTGTTGTACTTGTTTGACGTGGCCATGATGGTTTTGGAGCTACTGGTGGTGGAGGACCTTTTATATTACTTTTCTTTTCTATTATTGTTGATGAACCATTTGTTGGTATTTCATTCATATTTGATATTGCTTTTGATGGATGTACTGGACGAACATATGGTATTTGAGGAGGAGATGTTTCCTAAATAAAATGAAATTCTCACTCATATATTTAATATTTTCTGGAAATACTCAACAAACAAAGGTTCTATATAAGTCATTTTTTAATTCGAATTTATCTTTTCACCTTCATTCTATATACTTAATAGATGTCAAAAACATGATTTTTAGAGGTGAGACGGCTGCTGACAGTGCTATTGTCTTCAGAATGCTAGAAATAGTAATTGAGGAAAGGAGAAAAACGAAAGTCACTCTACCTAAGATCCTCTCACAAAAGACGACCTGCCCGCCTCTTCCAAATTTTATTTACTTCGTAATAACGACGTTTGCTAGAGAACAATAAATAATGTTTTAAAACCGACTTTTTGTTTACAGTTATCAAAAATTGGTAGGTAACTCGAATACTTCGAGGAACACATCTATTTTCCCTAATCGAGAAGCTTGATTAGGATACCGGAGTTTTTTTGTGAAATCTTACTTTCTAAATGGAGAAAAAGTGTCATCTTCCCAACTTCGAGTAGAAATTGCTCATTCCTGGAAAAGTTCAATGTCTTTAAAAGCTCTCGAAAAACAATAGCACTCTTATTATATAAGTACTCTTTTACATAATGACTACAAAGTATAAGTGAACAAAAAAGACTCTGCTATGATCTTTCAAATAAGAAAAAAAAAAAAAACGATTCTATATATAGAATGAAGGTTCACAGAGAATTGTGAGTTACTTCATCAGAAAAGCATATTATTCAAGTAAAACATAATGAAAATGTCGTTTATGACAGATTAAATCTCGACCTATCTTTCTAAACATTTAACTTAATTTTCATTTTTTTTAATGAGCGAAGCCTTAAATATTTTTTTTGATAGTTACATCATCAAATTGTGAAACAGGTAGACTTGTTGAATTTGTCGGTGACAATGGTCCATTTTCTGTTGGACGAGATCCATCAGATTGTATTGTATCATATTGAATATAATGTGATGGTGTTGGTGATGTTGGAATTGATGATGATATTGTAGAATTTCCATCATAACAATTTGGTGTTATAACACCTTTTGTTATTAATCGATACCATAATGTTACATCAATACGCATATGTGATGGACGTGGTAGATTTTTTCCTTTAAAAATACAAAAAAAATCATTTTTTTGTTGTTCAAAAAATAAAAAAAAACCTTTTCGTTTTGTAAATAATTTTTTTTGTCGTTTTAATTTTGGTGCTGCTTTAACTAATGGATTAATAAATTTAATCTATTGAATTAAAGAAGATTTAAGAAAAGATAATCAATAAAAAAAAAAAAAATTCACTAACATCAGCAAAAAGAACTCCTTGTGGTTCTAAATGAATAATCATTCCACTTATTTCATTATTTGGATTAATAAAATCTTCTAATCGAAGAAAACGTATAGCACACATATTACGATAATCACGCCAAAAAATATTTATTTCAAGTTCACGAGCCTAAAATTTATTAAGAAAACAAAAAAAAAATTTAAATTTATCTTATTAAAAATAAAATTTTTACTCGATCAAGTTCAATTGTATAACGTTGATCCCAAGCTTGTTGACTACATGGTTTAAAACCAGTTTCTACTGTCCGAACGCTATCAACACGTAATATAGCATTGATTTCATCTTAATAACACAAAAAAAAAAACAAATTGTTCTATTTAAATAAAATTTACATATTTTTCTCTTGTTATAATCGATATGGTAACAGATGGTCATATAAGTTAACTTTACATCTTTTGTTTCGTAATTCATATGGATCGTCAGATGTTTAGAGATATTCATTTGTTAGAGTTAAGTAACAATCAGTTAGTCAATTATCTAACAACATAAATGTTCTCTTTGTTATATCTACTGATACAATCTCATATGAATTCTAGCATAAAATATTAATGATTTTGTAACAGAAACATAATTATTTCAAATATCTCACTTACAACTCATCAATTTCAATAAAATAAACATGAGAAAAACTCTTACAAATAGCTCATTTATATTATTATAAATGTAGAATATTCCATTGCAATCAATTTTAGCTTAAAACCACGTGTGGTAATGTAAACAATCTTTCATAAACTTTGGCCCATAGAAAACAACAACTAATCTATATATATATAAACAAACGATCAAGTCTCTAATTAATTACAACTGAAACTATTTCGAATATACAACTTAAAGATTTCCAAAATGATTTATTAGCTAATTCTTTTCTCTTAATACGATGAATAGAAATATAAAAATAATGATAACCCGAAAGATAGAGGAGTAACCTTTGAGAACATTTTTAATGATAGACAATGATGTAATGATTTCGATCGGTCATTTGAAAGAAAATGTGAATTTATGTTTTCAGGATTAGTTAAAGTGTGCACTGAATAAACACTTTATAGTATATTCAAACGTTTTAATGTGAGCCTATGGCTATATTTTTTAAAGATAAAAGAAATATTTCATGATTGTTTTTGTTTAATGTAAACTGTCTATTCAACGAACACTTTGTAATTCATAAGAAAATTCATATCAAAAGAAAAAACATCTAAACCTATTCAATCTTTGATTAATAAAAAATCTAAAAATTTACTGGATAACTCATTTTTTCCACGTAATGTTCTATATTTGGCATCTGGACTTGAACCAAAACTATCACGTTTACTAACAGCCGGAAGAAGAGCATCTTCAAATAAATCTTGACAACCAAGAAGACTTTAAATAAAAGAAATAACATATGTAGGAAAGAAAGCAAAAAAATCTAACTAACCGAACTTGAAGTTTTCCAGTAACAGCAGCTGGTTTTAATATATTATCATTATAAAGTGCTGATGATTGATGATTTGAATTATTATCATTACGTTTTTTATATCGTCTTCTAAGTGCTTCTTCAAGTAATGCAATTCTTTGTTTTGATTCAAATAAACTTTGATGTGCTTCAGCTAAAAGTTCTTTTTTAGCTCCTGTTTGTTTAAGTACTTTAACAGCATTTTCACCACCTTTTTTCATTGTTGTTTCAATAGTTAAATGATGTTCTAATTGTTGTATTGTTTGTTCTGATGGCCATAATGATTGATCATTTGTATAATTATTTTCTTTTGAATTATTATTTGGTTTTGGTAATAATAATTCGGTTTCAAGACGTTTTATTTCTAAACGTATATATTCAACTTTAGCTTTAGCATCTTTTAATAATATTTGTGCTTCATCACACATTTTTCTTGATGATTCTTTTCGTTGTCCACTATATGTTGTTAAAAGTGTTTCAGCACCAGCTTTAACTTTTAATTCAATTTCAAGTTGTTTTTTAAGTGCATGAATTCTTTGTTGTATTGGATTTTGTTCATTTCCAATTGATGATGAATGTGCACTTGATGAAAGATCATTTGAACCTAGAATTTTTATAAAAAATGAATTAGTTTGTTTGTTTATTTATTTACCATTTTCTAATTGTTTTATTTGCATTCGTAAATAATCAGCTTTAGTTTTTGCATCTTTAAGAACAATTTGTGCTTCATCACACATTTTTCGATAAGTTTCTTTTCTTTGACCTGTATAAGTATTTAATATTGATTCTGCACCTGTTTTTACTTTTAATTCAATTTCAAGTTGTTTTTTTAATGAATTTATTTGTTGTTCAATGGAAGTTTGTTGTTGTTGTTGTTCATCTGTATGATTTGTTTCAATACGATCTATAAATTTTATTTAGAAAAAAAAAAAACAACTTCGTTTTGTTTTGTTTTAAAATAACAAAAAAAAAAAAAAAAAGTCAATACCATGAGAACTCATTTGGATAGTTTCATGAGAAGAATTCATTGTAATTGAATAAATATTAAGATAACGATGCCATTCAATGTCAATGAAAATATTTTCATCATTCCTATAAGGGAAACATTAACATACAGAAGAATAAACGACGACAATAACAATTTTTACTTTGTATTTGGTAGGTTTAATAACCAATAGAATGAAGATTTTATTCCTTCGTTTGTTTAAAATATCCGAAAAGCGACCTCTGACAAAATACATACAATTGTTTGTTTTATATTTAAAAAAACAATAATGAGAAGTTCAATAAGAATGTTAACATCCATCCATCGTGTTTATCAAATCATTGAAATATAATTAGTCATCTTTTTTTTTTTGTTTTTGTAAGATAATGAAAAAAGTCTAAGAAGAATTTTATAGAATTAGAAGAAATTTTCATTAAACTATTGTTATATTGAATAATTTTTGATAGAACATAAAAACTGTTTGATTTTAATAAATTCAAACATTAAAAATAATATTTATCAACACAATAGATGAATTGAATCTACATTAAATATGTAAAGTGAACGATATTATTATAAGATTTCGTTTTCAATTCTTTTTTCATGCTAAATCTTTGTTGACAAGGCTTCAATATTAATCATTAAACAGAATAAGTTATTCAATAAGTCAAATATATATTTGATTTTGTTTCACTTCAATCATAAGTTGATGCTTAGCAACATCATTTGAAATATAGAATTCATGACATATGTCACTCATTAAATAAATCTATATTTCTTTCCTTAATAGAAAATATTCATTTATAGGATCTATTGACATATATATTCTACTAATATCATTAGAAGTAATTTGTTGCTTTTGTCCTGCATAATTAACAGACGTCTACACTAGGAAATAGTCAAGATGATATGAATTCATGATATACAAAATAAATGTTTTATAATATCATCTAAATTGTTTTCTGTAATCTTTGATTTTAATAATAAACTTCACAATTGTTGTTGATGAAAGACTCGTATGTATTTTTATTTAAACTAATTGTAGTGCACTAGAATTTCGTTCACATTTATTAGACCCAACTAATTTATTCAAGTAAAATTTTTCTTAAATGACATTTTTTAGATATTATTAGATGAAATTTATTAAAAGAACATTAGCGATAGATATCGTAGGAATTTTCTGTTCGTCTTTTGATTGTTTATGGATAGGTAACGTTATCGTTATTAATGTTCATTTTCATCATCAATATCAATAATGATAAAAACTAACAAGAAATTTTCGAAGTTAACACGTAGTACGTGAAAACACGATCGTCTTCAATTTGTGATAAATAGTTTTATATGAAGTATTTGTCTACTCCGCAAATATTTGGTCAAAATTTATAAAAAAAAATATGCTGTAGTAGAGAGAACACTTTTTCCGATGGATAACATTCAATCAGAATGTTTTGACCAATGAATGTTGATTTTCAATTTATTGTATTGAATACTTGAGAGTAAAATTTTAGCAGATATGCCACATTCTTACTACTATCAATGAAATTTAACATCATACTATTGAGAATCAACACCAAATTCTTATTTGTCGTTTCTAAAAACCTTCTAGTCAAGGTTTTATTAAAACAGTCATGGTATATTTCACGGTTGAGTTACAGCTGCTTTTCAATGAGCTAGATAGAGAAAAACAAAATTTTTCTTTGAGAAACTCTTTCTTTCGCAAAAGAGACTAACGCAATGCCTCAAACAGATCTTGTATTTATTCATTTACTTTTAGTATAGACATATCTATATATAAATGTAAGAACATTCATTTGTGTTGAACTTCTGATTTAACCTTGTAAATTTTTACATCACACATAAAATAACTGTATTGACATGATTACCGAGAGCGAGCTTCGTTTTTATTCCGTAACACTTGTTTCCAAAAAAAAAAAATGAGAACACAGTTGGATGGAAACTCATTTTCTTTATTGAAATATATTTGCTTCCTAATAAAAATACATTATATTTCATTTGATAATGATTCATTACTCTGCATGTGTTTTGTTTACTCTGTCTGTGTACTATATTCTATTTTTCATGTATGATAATAAAAATTATTTTATATTGATTTATGACATAAGCAAACGAGACTAATATTTCAATAAAAAAAAAATGAATGTCACATCTTCACACTGATTGGTTTGATTTACAGATACAACACCGCGTAACAATGAGGGCGCTGTAATTAAAGTGAAGATGTTTATAAAACATTTTAAATTGATAGTTTTTTGAATATCATGTAATAAAGCTTATTAAAAAAAGTCAAGGAAAGATGTCGTAAAAGTTTTCTTATATTCTGATTGGTTTTAAAATGATATAACATGGATTAGCAACGTTGTCGGTTTTCCTTATTTCTACTTATATAATATCAATCAACGCAAAAAGAAGTTTGTCTTCAATAATAAACGCCACTAGAAATATGGTAAGTTAAGAAACGAATTGATATGCTTTGGAAGATATTTTTCTCGTTTTTTTTTTTTTTAAAGGTTGAATTTAAAGGACCTGGTTACACAAGCAGTTATAATAATGTCTTCATTATCATTCCGGCTGTTATTATTGTTGCTCTTGTGGGTAAGTTTAATTTCAAAATCCAATTGGCTTTTTTTTTGATGAAGATTTATTTTATTTTATTAATTAGGTTTTGTTGCTTACCGTTTAGTCAATAGTTTAATGTCTAAAAAACGACAAAAATTAGAAAAAGCACGATTAAGACAACAAAAAAAAGTTGATCGACAAGCATCTCCTCAACCATCGCCTGGAAAAAATAAACGCAAATGATCTTAGTTTTATTTATTCATTTTCAAGTTTTACTCTATTGAAGATAGAATTTTATTTAAACGAAAACAATATATATATATATATACATTGATATTACAATAATCATGTCATATTTCATATTCAAACATTTCAGGATATTTAAATAAACAGAAATTGTTTCTATTCAAAAGTCTTTTGATTAATTTGAATAAGGAAAAATTTTTGTCACTAGTTAAAACTTAGAAAATCTTGCAAATGTTTATACTTTAGAGAAAATCTCGTGAAACGGTTTGGAACTACTGGCAAAATGTTATGATCACAAACAGTTTTCATATTTTCTTGTCTTCGATAGGTTACTTACGACTAAAATATAATTTCAAAGGCAACGAATCAGTTGAGATACGTCCCTCATAAACAGATTCTATAGATAAACTAACATTAAAGTGAGTAAACTTAATGTATCATCATACTATCAAAGCAAATCGTTTTTTGATACTTGTTTTATCATCATACAAAACATTTTCGTCAATTTCTCGAAATTGAAGTAAGTGTATGATAATAGTTTGTTGTCAACAAGTCAATCGAATAAATTTATGATGATATAAACTAATAATAAACGAATGATTGTAACAATTATCAATTTGTACAATCGTGTGTATATTGAAAAAATAGACTTTTAAGTTTTCTATATATCATTTGAATGAAGTACTTCCTTCTAGTTATCTTTAAGAGAACTTCTATCATTATCCCGAACTACAAAACTCCGTTTTTTTATTGTTATTTTTTCATCGCAAATAAAACCTTCATACGTCGACTGAGAAAATGATTCCAATGCTGCTTCGTATACGACACCGTCTTCATTACAAAGGTTGTTTTGTAGTTGATATATGAGTATCTGACACCATCCTATTGGCACTATGTTGGATAACTTTAGATCGAAAATAGTTCGACACAAAGAAAATAATGATTTTCTTTTTTATCTGCATTTCTCTCAAAATCGAGTTTTGTACGACGAAAATGCATGATCATCTTTCCTTTCGGGGTTAGGTATGGATGTGAATTTTCTGGTAATTCACATCCACCATAAGATTCTTGAAATAGATTTAGCAGATGACTTGTTTTCAGCCACCTGTTGTTAACGTATAGATTGTCTGAACCAAGACAAAAGTTCACTCATCCAGTACGCATGTTTCTTGATCTTCTCTGTGACCATTAAAAATACGTTTTCGTAAGCCTAGAGCACAATGCTTCCTAGCCATAGTGTAATCGAACAAAAAATTTCATCTTGTTTTAAGGTTTCAATAGCTCTTGATAATTACAGTTTACCTTTGAGACAGTATTTTTCTTCGTGATAATAGATTAATAGGGATTAAAGAACAGTAAGACAATGGTGGCAAACATTGATATGTATATCATTTTTTCGATATTCGGAGCACATTTTGTATTTTTTTTTATCTACGCCCTTCTTCGAACTTGAAGATTTATATTAAGTCAGCAAAATTATAGTTGAATCGAATAAAGATACAATTATCGAATCATTGTTGATGACATCACTGTCCAGGCAAATAGAGTAGAGCGAAAAGTGAGCTAAAATGAGTTTCATTGCCTGGTTTTCAAACGAAACGTGTCGAAATAGTACCATTACAATTTTTGTGGGTTATACCCATTTTCCGCAAAAAAAATAAGAAAAAAAAGAGTTCTTTTTGTGAATGAATTGAAATGGCACAGTAGTTTAACAATTTTACGTTCACATTTAGTTATGTGACGCGCATTCATTGTAGAATTGATAGATTTTATTTAAGCATTATATTCAACTATTCGAAGTGTATTCATTTATCACTGTTTTTCGTCAAAGTTGACCGAAATAAACTACGATAAAATTGTAATCCAGCGTATATTGTTTTAAAGAAGTAAACGTCAGGCAAATATTGCTTCTACTACTATGTACCGACCAGTTTACATATATCACATTAAATCTTTACTGAAATTTCACAAACTGTCACTCAATGCATATTTCGAGGGGTTGACAGAATAGAAAGTTGTTCATACATTGTCGAACACTCGAACATTTTGTGAAAATTGAAAAAGTTTTTCTTTTCTCTATCTGATTTTGTTCCGACCCCTCGATACTTATTCGAATATTTTTGTAGAGGACAATATTCCAAAATATGTAATTATCATTACGGAGCTTACATAGGTCAGATGAAGTAAATATAAAGTTTTAATTTTACATAAAGTCAAGTG